ACGACATGAGAAAAAAAATCTCTATTCACTTAACTAAGATCCAAGTTTGGCAATTGCCTGCATCTAGGCTCTGTGTTTATAAAATCAGAGCTAACAAAAGCAGTGATGGGCCGCGATAGAAGTCACAGAATTCCGTTAAAGTTAAACTCTCAGGTTTTGCGTGTTTACAAGCATATTGCTCTGTGCTGCTTTCCTTCTAGTACTTATTTCTTGACTGCTCATATTTTTCCTATGTGATAATTTTTAAAATGTTATTCAAAGTTAGTTGACTTAATTCACTTAATGGATTTTCCTGTAACTTTTGGTTGAACAGTATCCTTTCTGTACAGGCCCTTCAGTCACCACTACTGAATAGAAAGAGGCTCTGATTCATGAAATGTGAATTTCTGACACTTGCCACTTTTTAAAAAAAAACTTGAGCAGTACATGACTGATGCATTCTTGTCCATTTTCTGTGTTCCATCTGTCTTTCTGCCAGCACACTCACCCTCCATTTCTGAAAGTAGTTGGGTAAGAAAGTACTAAACACAGAGAAAAGGCAATTCCCAAAAGAACAAACGATTTGTTTAATTTCAGCTGACGTCACCCAGTTGGTGGGGGTCTCATCTACTAGAGATGAGCAATGCCACCACTTGGGTTGTGAAAATTCCCAAAAAGCCAGCTGACTTAGTGGTGTAATGAGGGAGAATACATCACTAATGCCCAGTTCCATTTCTTGGGAAATGAAAAAAGGTAGTTTATTCCACTCTAGTTAAGTTTAACTCAGGAGCTATCTCTAAAAATAGTCTCAGATAAAAAGTCAATGAAAATGCAAGTCCAACTGTCACTAATTCCCTTAGTAGTGAAATTTTTTACATTCTGCATTTTCTATCAAGAAAAGAGGTCTTTTTGCGAGAATAGGGGTACACAGACATGGACAATCTCCAATCCCCACAGTTTTTCTAAGAGGCCAGACATTGCAATAACTCAATCTTACAGTCCTGGACTCCTGAGGGAAAAAAGTTGTTACAAGTTTCCTTGTAATTATAGGTTACACTGACATTTAAATAGTCCAGAAGACTGGATATCCTAACGTTCCTATTAAATTGATAATGAGAACATTTAATAGGTATCAAGAAGCATGTGCAGGTAGATGCTGAATGCCTTAATAAGGAAAAGTAAATAGGAATTCTCTCTCTCTCTTAAAGTAATACCTGTGATCACAGAATCCTAGAATTTGAGAGGTGATGGGAACTTCACATTTATTTAACCCAAACCCTTTACTTTATGGAGGAAGGAAAGAATGCCCAGAGAAGTTGTGACTTGCCTCATATCACACAAGTAAGTGAAGGCAGAGGTAGGACAAAAATCTGATTTCCATTTTACCATTTCCTTGACAAGTTGTAGAAAAATCGTAAGCCATGGATTTATTCCACATTACAAAGTTGCTCTGTTTCCTTTTCAGCTTCTCTTCCTTTAGGTGTAAGTTTCCCTGCTTTGCGCACTCTTGTTGAAGGAGTTACTGACTTAACTACAGAGAGAAGCTGAGAACCAGAATAAACCTGAGCAATCACAGCCCAACCGCTTCATTTTCTCACCAAGAAACGAAGACCCAGTGAAGTTCTGAAACTTGCCACAGTGAAAGAATGAGGGACTGTCTACAGAGAACCTGCATCCTTGTCTCCTTTTTGTCTGGTTCAGCGGACTTTACTGCAATCTGGTCCATATCGTGCTGTTTTAAGCATTTAAAATAATTTCCTTAAGGTTCATAACATATTGGATTCTTTCACAAAGCAAGTAATCACATTTAGGTATCTGCTTAGATTTGGCTTTTCCAAATAGCACGTGCGTGTGTATATAGACTTTGAATGTGGTGCACGTGTAGCCAATAAATCGTAGCCATCAAATAATGGCATAAGATCCCAATTCTCCCTTCCTGCGGCCTAACATGCTCTTCTTCCACCTCCTCAGCATCCTCGCTCCTGTCCATTCCCAAGTGCCTGCCAGTGAGGGAAAGAAGGACCGTTATTATATCCATCCTCTCTCCCCACAACAATTTCCCCATTGATTCAGCGAGATCGTGGGGTAGGCATTATGAACAGTATGACTTATGATAAACTTTCACTCTGCAAAACAACACTCTATTTTAAACATCACTTCTCTTTTTAACTGGACTTAAAACTCCAGAACTGAAAAGAAGGCTAGAGAAATGATGCATGTATATTTTGGAGCCTACCCTAAGATGAGCAAGTTTAGATTCATCTTGGGTTTGGGTAACTAATTCTGATCCTATGCATCATCAAAGATTCCTTTATTTCTCCTCCTTGTGTTTTCCTCCCATGAGTGTATGTGCTGTTGAATCATATCCATGCCGTTCAACGATTATCTCACTGTAATGAGGTCAGTGGGGAGCAACAACACACTTGTATGCACTGTTCCCAACAGCCATGAGAGATCATGATTATAAGTAATGATGCCCCAAATTATATTAATATAATGTTAAATTCCCCTTGAAACATCTGTAGCAGAGTAATGCAAACAGTTTTACAGATGTGGCTGTCATTTCAAGATACCAAAATGTGAACTACAAAAAAATAATGGTGTTATTAATTTAATACACACTTGATGACTTTAATTGAATGATTATAGGCCATTAGGAAAGCAACTTGACATCACGCACTATTGACTACCAGCTGTTCAAAGAAGGTAAAACACATAGCACTTTGCTTCCACCGCAGAAACAAAACCTGACCGGAAATCTCATAGTGAGGGAGCGGTCCTGATTCTGCAATATGGTTCATCGCTGTATCCTAAGTGGAAAAGACGGAAAGGTCTTTGGCATATTATATAATGCAAAAATCAACCATAGGTTCAGTACTTTAACACCCATTATAAAAACCAAAAACCAGTTTAGCAGATTATAGAGCATGGGCTCTGGAGTTATATTCAAATACCAACTCCTACTATATAACCTTGGAGAAGTTACTTGAGCTCCATGTGCCTCTGTTTTCTCACCTTTAAAATGGGTATAACAATGTTACTTACCTACAATAATTTTTTTTGAGGATAAAATAAATTGAAATACATATAAAGCCCTCAGAGCATTGCTTGATACATTATAAATGCTCCATCAATATTCTCTACTATTACAGGAAACCAATCTCCTAACAAATGAACCCAGGAAAATCATTTAGCCTCTGTTTTCTCAATGTCTTCCGATACAGCTGTATGATATTAACAAATAATGAGTTCTCAATCACTGGACTGTTGGAATTCTTTCATGCTTCCCTATGAACTTAACTGTCACTTTTAATTTTTAGGACTTCATCGGCTTCAGACATTGCTTTGCCTAACACAACATAGAAAGGTGAGAATGCTCAAATTTTCTAATCAGGCAAAATGAAACAGAGACTCAGAGTGCACTTTCAGTGATCATGCATGTGCTTATAACTTCAAGTCCTCAGTGGAAAAATAACCTTCCTTCCAAAAAGAACACAAATAATTTCTAATGAAATCAATTATCGTAAATACTCTTAAGGAGATTTGCAAAGCAATTCCAAATGACTTCTTTGCAATGTTTCTAACAATACACTTTATACGCCTGCTGAGGAACATGTCCAGAGCGCAGACCATAAATCACCATCAAACATTTATCAAGCCCCTACGTTCATAGTGATGACGGCATCTGTTAAAGTACCATTATCAGAAATCTCTGAAACTAAAATGGAGCTGGTTTTTATTCTAAGCCTGGTGTATTTTTAAGTCAAGTCACAGGGAAATAATTACTTTTGTTTCTATTCAATCAAGACCTGCACACCGAGTTTATGGAATGACATAATATCCTTCCTGAAATCAGACTGGTATGTAGGACCAGCATCCTTCACACATAACCAGTTCCTGAACCTTTACAAACAAATCCCAACTTCCAAGGAAACGATCTCATCAAATGCTGCTCACTAGAATACGTATTGTTTCTTTTGGAAACATTACAATAAGATTTTCACGATTACAAACCCCAGCTTCCCCTCTAAAATTCAATATAATCTTAAACTCATTTATTCAAGTGGAAATTGTATTTTTATAATGGCTCTAGAAATTCCTGGTAAACTTATGTATCGTCAGTATAATAATTTAGTTATATTTTTAGTCTGCGAGGGGAGTGGTCATAAGCTTCCTAAACTTATTGTGTATACGGGGTACGTGTGTGTCTTTTAAATGGGTGCCAGCTAGGGGCTTCTTGGGAATGTTCATCTTTCTGGTTTTTACAGACCTATCCTAAGATAAGGAGTGTGTTTTAAACTATTTTTGGAGAATGATGAGTTTTAGTGATGTCTAGGATGTTGAGGGTTTTTTTTCTGAGAATTAAAAGGAACACCTAGCAGCTTGTAATCAATATCTTATCTCTGCCTTAGGAAGCTGGTGCTTCAGTACACAGGTCACAGGATTTGTTTCAAGCTTAGCAGACACGTTTATCCTTTACCACAAAAACAGTATCAACAAATCAGGGGCAAATACTGACATAAACATACAAATAGGCAGAGAATGGGATTCTGGTTGTCAGCCCACGGCCTTAAGAATAGAATTGTAACTTTCCCCTGTCACTAAGAGTGTTCTAAAGAATCTGGGCAGGGTGGAAGCTAGTCTCCCCACCACCCCCAAGTTAAATAAACAGTGGCCAAGTTTTAAATGTGACAGAGTGTGAGGAACCTCCAGAAAAGCTTCTAAAATACACAGAGTAAACCTGTCTCATTTATTCTGTAGACACACATAAGTTTTTAAAATTTATGATTCACCGTCCTACCATGACGTTTTCTCTGCACTTTATCTTGAGTAATGTGGCAGCTAAGTGCTGTCACTGTTTGCTTAAAACTGCAGCCTAAAGTTATTTCTAAAAGTTACGTGCGGCGTGGCACAGAAACCCGTATATTGCAAAGTGAAAACCATTTTAAAAACTGGGTTAGCATGAAACAGAGCCAACAGAAATCAGAATTAGCAACAGCCTTCCACTACCGGCAACTCACCTTGTTGAATTTTAGTCACTAGCTGATGGCGTGCTAGAATCCGGCTCATCCTGTAAGGAGAGCGTCTGGCAGTCTGATCGAATCGCAAGTACATCTCCTGGCCCTCAGGTGTCAGGGGATTTAGATAGTAGCAGCCTGAAGCTGGGGTCCTGGGTCCCTGACTGAACATCTCGGTAGATTTTCTTTTGCCACCTCAGTCTGCCCTGTGGCTGTTTCTGTCTGTCTCCACTCTCAGTCAAAGAGCAAGGCACCGAGCCCAGCAGAGCGCAACAGACCAGGCGATTTTTAAAAAGAAAAAGGAGTGCCAAAAGCCACAACTCAGAATTCCAACCCCCGGGTCCTCACGTGACCCCAGGGAGCCAATCAGAGGCAGAAAGAATGGGACTGTGCACGGCCAACCCCAAGCCCAACCCCAAGAGAGGCAGTTCCAGCAGCTACTATACGCCCCACAATGCCCAAAGCAAATGCAAGTATTTGACGTGCTTCTGAGCTGACTAAGCACCGAGAAGCAACGCTCACTAAAGGAGTTAAAAGAAAAAGAGAGAGAGAGAAGAGAAAAGACAGTAGAAGGAAAATAAGCCCTAGGCATAGGAAATCTTTTAAGTTGTAAAAGTTCGAGAAGGCACATTCCCTTTCTCCAAGACAGCTGCAGCCAGGTAAAAGATGGATGTGATAAAGTCTTAACTGAAAAACTACTTCAAATAAGCACAAACAGCCTGAGTATAAATCCCCACCCTTCGTTACAAAGAAACGAACGCAATAAAGCTTTTCTAGTGAAAAATACACTTCAAGTGCTTTAACACCCAAGTAAATAAACTCCGGGCTCCTGACCATCGCAATGGGAAGTTGAGAACTCTTACAGATAAGACTGGGAGATGCAGCCAATGGGCACAGGCATATTCGTTAAGCATCTATTCCTCTTTAATTTTTCTGCTCCAATTTTTAATCACCAAGAAGCAAAATACTTACGAAGTACCTATAACATTTGAGACACTGCCAAGAATCATCGTAAAGATGCAGATTCATGCAGAAGGCACTGTCACCAGGCTGCTAAGGATCAACAGAGAATTTATGCCAAAGCTTATAACACGCGCCTTATTTGAAAGGTGCCTCAAAAAAGAGACAAACACAATGTTGGGGAGCAGAATTACTTTTGACTGGGGAGATGCTACAAGCCCACACGGAGAAGGAGCCATTCGGGTGGGCTTGAAAAAATGGGTGGGATTCTGACAGGCAGCGGCTGGGGAGGGCTCTGCAGGAGAGTCGATGCCCACACGTGTGGAGATCGGCAACCAGTGTGTGTTTAAGGAAACTGTGGGTCATTCAATTTGGCCATATCCGAGTATACATATGGGAGTAATTAGAATTTTTCCCCCTATTTTTTCTCTTTAATAGTGTTTGATGTGAAGAGAAAAAAGTCCATAGAAAACATGTTATCCAATTCTGAGCCTGGGGCTGAATGAATAAAGTTCTTTGAAAAAGAAACATAGGGCCAATTTGTTCTTACATTTGGCTGACTCAAACGGAAACACAGTCTGGCCTGGGGATTTATAGTCCTAAAAATGAAAAACTCTCAATTAACAGTTTAACAGGACTTAAATTCGAACCTCAATTCTTATTACTGTGTCAGCCCTCTCACCTCGCCCTGTGGGAATTTTTGCTGGCCGGATTCTGAGAAGCAGCTTCTTTCCTGTAACTATCTCACTATGGAGAGGAATAAGTTAATAAGGTCCCTGGGGCTTACACTAGAACATACTGTCTCTCATGGCAATTGTGAGACTCTTCCTATAACTATGCAAGAGTAGGCAAGTGTTAGGTTTCAATCAGCATCAATGCAGAAAACTAAAGGAAGATCTCACCAGATCATATTGTTCCCTTTCCATTCTTATTTAGGACTTGATCAGAGGTTTCTGTTCCAGGTCATCATTTGAGAAAGGTCAAAGGGATCTAATATGTAGCAACAGAAGCACGGGCATTAATGGTAGACAGGTTTAGCCCTAGATTGCAATATTAGATGCCTGTGAGGTCCATTTGCCAAGTTCTGACCCAGCACTGGTTGCCATCTGATGGAGATGCTAATGTCAGCCGCTATGTGTTTTTGGCTTGATGGTCCCACTCAGGGGACGTCCCTGCCATAAACCATGTGTTCCAGCCAGATACCTGGCAGCTATCACTTTTTCTTTGGGAGAAAATAGAAGAAGAATGGAGAGAAAGAAGAGCAGTGTGTGGAATTTGGGGACTTTGGGTATGTCCTGGGAAGCCAAGGAAAAGGCAGGAAATGATGGGCAGTAGTTTCATAGCTGTGAATGACACTTAAAGAAAGCTTGGCAATTCCCAGTGCCAACTTTGTACTTCATTACTGACCTGGCAGCATTTTAAAAATAATGCAATGATTCTTCCTGAGAAGCACTCCAGTGTATCATGGCCAGGTTACCATTTGAAAAAAAACCCCCAGTGCCTTCTTTTTGTATAATAACGAACACACGTTGAAAGGCCTGAGGTGTTTTATTCTGAAAACATCAAGATCATAAATACGTATTCTTGGATATATGTAAACAGATGTAACAACACACAACATAGTATTTCATAGGAGATTGGCAATGAAGAACTAGAATTGAACTTAATCAAGAAAAAAAAGGTAATTTTTATTCCTTGATTAAAAGAAAGACAACTTACAATAAAGTCTCATTTTTCTAAAAGTGATTCTGAGTGTTAATAAGGGGATCCCTGAAGGATTATATATCAACATCTCTGTCTTCCCTGTGTCATGCACAAGTTTTATCTTATGGTTCAAGTAGTATCTACAAATCCATGCAACTGCTCACCATGTTTTTGCCATTTTGTACGTCCAAAATACCATATTTAAAACAGATAGGTAACATTATTTTCCTATTAGTGTCATTAATGCCTTGTTTTATGCTAATTATTGCTATGAAACCTGGACCCTTTTAATGAATCTGATTTCGTCATTTGTTCCCAGAGTTAGAAGAATTGCCCCTGGTTGGGCTGTTCTGTTCTGTTCGTTGTAAATGCCAAAGCAAGAAACTACTGGAAATCTCCCCGGGGCTGATGATGTCTTGCAAGCATCTCATTGAGAGCGTTCTTCCCGACACTGATGAGCAAGAGAGGGCCGAAGGAATCAGAGCGGGAGAGAGCGCTGAAATCCCAAGTGTATCTTCCAAGACTGATGCTGGATTTTCTTTAAAAATGAGGAGAACGGATGGCACGAGTTTTTAGTTTTCACTTACTTTCCTCTTTCCTAATCTGGTCATCAAAAGCAACCTTCACTCAGACTATTTCAGAGATGGGATAAACAGACGAATACTGGGAACCCAGAAGAGCAATAAAGCGGGGAAGAGGTGGCGGAGAGGCGCTAACAGCATTGAGTACCTACTATGTGCCAGGCCTTATGCTATTTGCAGTTCATGTCTTTAATTAATCTCCAGCAACCCTCTGTGGTATCCTATTTTATGGAAAAGGAAACTGAGACTCCTGGAGGTGAAGCAAAGTCCCCGGTCATATGGCAATCAGGTGCAGAGCCACTGTCTATCTCCAAGCTGATGATATTTTAACTCTTTCCACTACCACACATGAAGGACAGGGAAGGAAAAATTATGGCACTGAAAGGGTGCTGGGGAAATTGGGTAGGGGAGAAAATTTGGAAAGAATATACTGAAAATCATCTTATCCTATTTAACCGCATATGACACTGGAATGTCTAAATGGAAATATAGGTATGAGATAGCTAAAATCTTGTAGTGGTTGAGATCTGGGTGACTAGAGAGCGCAAGATGCACAGCCCAGAGCCTTCAATTACCTGGTGAGAACCAGCACCCTCTTAGGCTGAGATCTGGAGACCCACCCATCTGCATCCCCATCCTAAGTGAAGCAGCAGCCTGACCGCCTCTTTGTGTAACAGCACCTCTTTTGGAGGGTAGGCTGTGTGTCCTCCGCTGTCTGCTCATCCTCAAGGTTGACTCTGCATGCTGTCCTGCCTTTTCCGTGGCATTTCTTACCAAGGCAAACACTCCAAATACAGTCAAAACTCTGAAATCTGATCTCTAAACAAAGCTTTTGGTATTTAAAATTTTCAAGTCTTTTGACAGATGATCCCAGATTAGTGCTCAATGGAATCTTGTGTACACAGGGCAGAAAGCTAGAAGCACTTTTACAGAAGCCAGGAATGGCTCAATGTGCTTTCATCTGTCTGCTGCTCCTTCTACTCCTTCACGTACATTCCAGCCTCCTCGGCAGCCTGTTTAGAGGGAGTGAAGGCAGTTCTGCCAAGTAGGAAAATGTTTGAGATACAAGCGGTAGGCGGAAAAAAGCAGAACTGATTTGGAGGGCTCCTTTGGAAGTTGCTTGAATCCAAAGGTTACGGGATAATGTCAAAGCCTTCCTGTGGGCTCTGAAGCTCCTTTGAGGATTTCCACCAATTGATTTGTGATATACGTACCCAACTCTGTGCCAATAAGCTTTCCCAATATGCATGCACCACGTACCCAATGATCAATGCAGGCAAGCCAGGGATGCTAACATTCGCAGCCATGACCAAGACCCTCCATGAAAGGTTTCAGAGTGTATCCTCTGCTGATTCAGTTTCCCTAGCTTTAGACCATGTCTCCCATTTGGAGTCCAGATCCTGCTGTGGGTGATAAGAGATCCAGATTCACTTGTGGGTGGCAACAGATTTCCTTTATTTTGTCTCTCAGCCCTCCCTACTGTCTTTGGTTAACTTCACCTCTTTGGGCCTCTGAGAGCATGTGCTCTGCCCTCATGCCCTCCCCTGGGGACCCACCCATCAGCTCCAGTTCATACGGCCAGCCATCTGGCCTGGCCTGACTTGTCCTGGGCTCGTTGCCTACACGCAGCCATTTCAGCCAAACCAAAATTCTTTGAGTTTTTTAAGTTGTTTCAAAGATCTGGAACTGTGTGATTTCCTACTCTTCCACCCTCTCAAAGCCTATTGCCTTCAGAAACATTTTTATAACTAATGCAAAAAACCTTTAGGATTAGCAGTCACGTTAATACCTGTAAATAGTCGTTATGTGGCACATTAATTAGATTAATTTGTTACATGCGAATATGGAATCCATTTGCTCATTGCAACTACCATGGGCATAATGTTTTTACATCTTGGATTTGGAAGGGATATTAAACATTTCTTAATCCAGCTACTCAAGTACTATACAAGTCGCTGTCAGATCAATTAATTAATGCTCTACCCGCATATAAGAAGTGTATTATCTCATCAAGGACCACAAGCTGTTCAAGAAAGTTTTCCTTATAACTTCCATCCGCTGGCTCTAATTCTGCCATTTGGAATTAGGAGAAATCTATTCCTTCTTCCATATGCCTGTCCTTTGGATGTTTGTAGAAGGCCAATGTGTCCCTTATAAGAATCTTCTTTTGGAAGCTTAACATTCCTTGTCATCAAACCACACAACTTCTAACTATTCAGCAAGCTGACTGCTGTCTTGTGGCTCTTCTCCAGTCTGTCAGTATCACTTTAGAAACGTGGTTCCTACCCTAAACTTAGAGCTCTAGATATGGCCAAGCAAGGTAGTATATGCCACGACGTGTGCATACCTCCTGCATTCAAGACATTGCACTGCTGCTGATTCAGTCTGAGATTTTGGGAGGTTTTCTTTCTATAATCTATATTTACTCAATCGTTAATTCAACATTGACTGAATGCCTGCCCAGCACTGCAGTAAATATGGAAGATATAAGGGTGAATAGGTTGTGGGCCCTTCCCTCAAGGGACGGTCCACCAGGGAAGATAAAGAAAATCACCATTCCACAATGTTAAGTGTTGTGTGGGAGGCTATCTGTATTGCCTCAAACTGTTTTATAGTCAAAGTCCTTGAGCCCTGCCGTGTTTATGTCACTTCATAAAATCTGATGTTAAATGAGTGCTCTCTATCCTGTGCTCAACAAATGACCTTTCAAATTTAAGAACAGATCTTTCAACTTATTGGAATTATTGAGATACTTTCAATTCCTGATTTTCTTCTCCACCTACTTAATTCTGCTTTGTTCTCTTAGGTAGCCAACAAAAATACCTTTATTATAAAAGTATAAAATAAATAGTTAAGTAAGTTTGGGAAAAGGTAAAGTAAGGGTAGCAAAATAATAAAGCCAAGGCCGAAATCAGTTCACAGAAATACAAGCCACGCAACCCTGTGCATTTGCGGGAGGTGGGTGAAAATACGGCGTACGATACCTATGTGACAAAGTAAAAGGGAAACAAGATCAGTTACAAAATTCAACGTATCCATCAGATAAACAAAATGGTAATTCAAGATAAACACAGATCACCAGGTATTGAGACCCCCCCCAGGAAAATTTTCCTGGATCTCCATAAAGAATCACCATCCTCAGTGATATCGGATTTGGTAAAAAACCTTAGTTCATGGTTTCTTATCTGTACCCTTCAATGCCAATAATAGTATGGTAACAAAGCACTATTTAGGAAAAGTAATTTCTATGAAGGCCCGCAAAGAACATGGTTTAAGCATGCTATTCTCAGTGCGCTGTATCACCTCTCCACTTAAAATACTTCAAAAGTTTTCTACTGCACCTAGAACGAAATCCAAACTACTTACTTGGCCATGCAGTCCTGCAGGATCTGTACCTTGCCTGCCAGTCCCAGCTCCTCACTAGCCTCCTCCACGTTGCCACCTCAGAGTCTTCTGTCTACACGTGCTACTCCTTAGCCTGGAATGCTCTTCATGGAACCCTTCCCGTCGCTGATTCTTTCTCAGTTTTCAAGCATCACCTTACCTGATACATCCTCAAGCAGGCCAACCCTGCTCACTTAACTCAAGCGGAAGCAGTACCCCATTTGTTGTCTCTATAGCACCTCTCTAAATTTGTAATTACATACATATTTTCTCAATGATCTATGCTTGCTTTTTTTTTTTTTTTTCCCATTAGACTGTCATGTCTGGTCCATGTCTATTTCATTCACATTTTATGCTCAGCACCTACCACAAGGCCTGGCACATAGTAGGAAATCAATAGCTATTGGTTGGATAAATGAGTAAATAATGGAATAAATGATGATCTGAATTTTTCAAGGATAAAATTTATATGTCTAGAGGAATTGATGTATATCTTTTAGACAATCATCATAAATATTGTTGTCGCTACAACCTGAATTGGAAAAAAGATTGGGTAGCAGATAATTCAAGGTTTTATTCTCCAGAAAGAGCCTTAAGTGCACATATTTCACTCTGTTGGTTAGTGGCAAAAGTATATGCTTTTACCATCAAACAGAGGACAGTTTAAGGTTTCCTGTGAAAATTAGGAGCCTGGAGGGATGAGCAACCCTACTCCAAAGACAGAGGCTGAAAGGCATAAAAAAAATTAGCTATCTTTTTTTAGCCTCAAATTTGATAAGCATGTCTGCTGTGCCTTCAATTAAAAAGTTGAAGAGTACTTGGTGAGCTGTTCTTCACGGACCCATACTGCATCTAGGCTATTAACCACCTCCCTGTCTTCATGTGCATCAATGTCTTTTAATAATTCTTTCAATAATTTTATTGGAAATTTTAATTAATTTACTGTCTGGTATTTTCTACAACCTTTACTTTTTGTTCTAATTGAAAATAAAGGTAATTGCTCATTTTGGGTGTTTTCTTTTTTTTTTTTTTAAAGGATCATTTAAATTACTAGAAGGGATCCTTCAGTCTCTAAGGTGGAATTTGTCTTCACTTAGAGACTTATCCTCAGTTTTATCTGGTTAGATTCTATACCCTCCTTCCCCATCTTGAACAACAGTGAATATATTTTCTTACTATTGACTCAAATTATAATTTGAATATAAAAGGGAAGCTTGCTCATTAAAGAAATCCTATGATTGGAGCTGGCCCCATGGTCTAGTGGTTAAGTTTGGTGTGCTCTGCTTTGGAGGCCTGAGTTTGGTTCCCCGGCACAGACCCACACTACTTGTCAGCGGCCATGCTGTGGTGGTGACCCACATACAAAACAGAGGAAAATTGGTATGGATGTTCCCTCAGGATGAATCTCCCTCAAGCAAAAAGAGGAAGATTGGCAACAGATGTTAGCTCAGGGAGAATCTTCCTCAGCAAAAAGAAAAAAAAATCCTATGATGAATCCTTTAGAAACTCCTTTACTGATTCTCCATATTATCTGTTTTGTAAATGTTTGAGATTGTCCAGGGAAAGGCATACCATTATTAAGATTGTATGCAGACCTGTTGCTCTGGATCCAGTCTCCAATTTTATGTATTATTATATATTATATTTATTGTACATATTTACCTTTTGCTATCATGTAGCAGTTGGGCATTGAATAAAATTTGGAAATAACCATGGCCCACAGACTATGGAGGAATAGTGTGGGATTAATAATGCAATTGCATTTCTTATATATTTAAACCAAATATACTTTTTTGGATAAATTCAGCTCAGTGTACTAAGAATAGGATAGACTAGTTTCCCTCCTTATTCCTAATATAAGACCATAAATCTATACTTTAAAGAATGGACAGTGGTGCAAGGAGGAGTAACAGCATCAGAACACATCCCATACAGAGAGAAGCACTAAGAATTTGAGATGGTAGCAAAATACCTGGACATCAGGCTGAATGGTATTTTGAGGTGACTGTGAAGACAAATTTCAGGGCTGGTGGCTGGGCAAAAAAGGGGAGGTTCCTCTTTTAGGTTGGGAGGAATGATTTAATCAAAGGTGCTTCTGGTGTAATTAAAATATGAGTTTTGCTGCCATCTTGTTTGTCATAAATAAAGACAAAGCCACTAATTAACTCATGTTACAGCTTCTTTCTTTCACACTCAAATATTTCTAATGTGTGCTTCATGCCAGGCACAGTGCGAGGCACTAATGGGGCAAAGATGAATATGACACTGTCCTTCTCGACAGTATGATTTATAATGGCAAAAGTTGGGGAGAGTTACAATTACGGAACTGCATTACAGGTGCTACGACAGAGGTGTGCAGAGGGCGCCTGTGGGAGCAGAGTAGGGACAGCCAAATCAGAACATGAGTAGACTCGTTCTGCACTGCAGAAAAAGTAGTGCTGTGCCTGGAGAGATGCAGCCCTGGGTGAGAAGGTGGGGAAGACAATATCAGGAAAAACAATGCCCATGAAAAGAAAAAAATAGATAAAATCTTTCCTACGCTACACTCTCTTCTTCAATTAATAAGAACGATTAGTGTTCAAATTGCCACGTGGTAGAGACTTCTAGGATCCTAACTCAACTTGGAAAACCACACCTTTCCCCCAGTGCTCCTCTTGACTCATCCCCCCTTTTTTCCGCCAAAGCTCTAAATTGGGGCGATACCTCTCAGCTGCAGCTATTTTCTGGAGGTACTCCTTTAGGAGAATGGTTATGATGAATATGGTAACAAAGCAAGAGGGCAGGCTGAATTCAGGAGTTTCAGGCTTGGGTGGAAGGAAGGGTGGTCTGCCAGGAAGGGTTCTCAGCGACAGCATATATGCGACTTCCTGAATCTACCCAGCAAATGGTGCTGTGGAATTGTGACACAAACTAGCTTTTGTTAAACCATCTTTTAAAATTGGTACAATTCTACCTTTAAAGACAAAGCAAGTTTCCAAACCTACACCCATAGTAGCTTCCCTTGAAGATTCCATATCCTGGTGCTCCTTTGAATGAAGGGAAGAAAAGAGTATTTACGCCTGTTTTGTACAGTGTTTCTGGGAAGTTCTTTTATGTTAGAGAATATATGTGTGTGTATGGATACATAGAGACTGTCCTGAAATTTATCATGCTATTATTTCTTCAGAGCTTGATGTTTATCAAAGCACGTAGTGGCCTCTGGCCAACCTCTGAGAGCATCGTCATAATCACGCTGTGTCTTATTACATGGACCTGTTTAAACAGACCAAGTACAACATAGATAGCTGGGAGGGGTTGCCTTCTCCTTCTGCTGCTCCACCAAGGTGACTCAACACTCATCAATCACAGGAAAATAATTACTAAGTACCAAAAATGTGCTTGCTGCACAGAAGGATAGAACATGCCAAAAGTTACCCTCGCTCTTTGATGAACTAAAATATCCTCTTTCATCCCTTGATTTTGGGGGTCTCAGGAACTGGCTTTGGCCTTGGCTTGTTTCTCAATACACATTACCTTAGAAAATCCAGTCCCAGAGCATTCTGGTAATCAATCAATGTATTGTGCAAATCAAAAATGTAGGGCACAAAACGATGTGTGTGATAATCTACACTCGTACACTATGATTATAATTTTGTAAAAATAAAAAAATAGCAAAACAAGATTAGAAACAAACATACCAAAAAGATAATTATGACCATTTTTAGGATAGTGGAATTATGGGTAGTGTTTTTTTAAATTTCCATTTTCCAAATATTCTGCTGTATGACTAATTATATTGCTTATATGATGAGGGGATCAAGCTGGACCAGTGCTTCACATCAGGAGGCGTGGAGACCCCTGAAGGAAGAGCAGGAGCCTCTGCTTCAGCTGATTTCCAACTGCCCCTGTGTCTCGCAGATGGAAGACAGAGACGAGAAACATCCACACAAAAACCACAGATACGGTCTAATATGGCTTGAGCTCCCTTAGTGCCTGACATAATATTAGGCAAAACCCCAGTGTTCAAAATAAGAGAAAGAAAAAAAGAGAAAACAAAAAAGTCTATTGATTCCTTTTCCAAAATGCGTCTCACATCCATTCCTTCTTGTGCTATTGCCTCCACCACATAGGGACCAGCCCTGCTGCCTAGATGATTCCGACAGTCCAGCTTGTCTCTCTGTGTCTACTCGTGCCTCCCCTGCGTCTATCCTGAACACCACAGAACACTTAGCTTCTCAGGATAGCACTTCCATCATGTTACTCTCCTGTTGAAAAACACCAAATATCATCCCAGCTCTACCACTTACTGATTAAGTTATTTAGTCTCTTAAGGTCTCCCTTTCCTTGTCTACATGGTTTATATGTATATACATATATACGTGTCTCATGCATATATAAGCAGACCAAGTATACATGACTATCATCTTCCTTCCCACTCTTTGTGTCAACTGAATCAGAAGCTAAACCAAGAAAAAACAGACTAGTGGGACAAGTATTTTGTATCATTTCTTGAATGTTGCCTTTGGGGAAAGATTCACTGCAAGTGCTAAGAACTGTCAACTGCACAGACTCATTCTCTAGATATAGGAAACTGTCTTTTCAGCCATTCCTGGTTTTAAAAGCTGGGGTAGATAACATATAATATACTTACAACTACTTTCTAAGAGCTGATATTTCCTTCAGTTTTAGACAGAGACATCAGCATATTAAAGTTCTCACCTCCAAACAATGGGCAAAATCCATTTAAATAACACCGCAGTGACACTAGGAAGTATTTGGACAAAGTAGTCCGTACACTTTTAATCTAAATACTTTCTGAAAATTTACTCAGAAGTGCTATTTTTACTAGTGTACTTCAAATTTTAATTAAAAGAAACTATTAAAGACACTTCTTTTCTGAGAGTGGAGGAAGAGAAAGTGACTTTAAAGTTAAAAAGCCAAACAAAACAAACTTGGTGCATAATTTCTCAAATTTGGACCCGGGAGCTCCCTTGTAGGGTCTCTTGGGTCCCGTGTGGTCAAGGTTGGGAAGTCAGGGTTCTACTGAATTTTGCACAGAAGTAACCCCTCCATCCTGCAGTTGTATCATCCTGTTCTAAGTGACTAGATGAATGGGCCCAGACATTGGAATCACTTTTATTCAACAACTATTTTTCAACTCCTCCTCTGTGCAAGGCAACGTTCTCAGTGATAGAAATGAATCAATGAGTGAAACAGACAACAATCTCTGTCCTACTGAAGCTCACGTTCTAATGAACAGACATAGTAGCATTGGGTGTATTAACTTGTGATCTGTAAGCCACCACAACTCTGGAACTGTTTGCAAAATTTTGTGTATATATCCATTTTTCTAGAACACAGGTCTTTAGATTTCAACAAATTTTCAAAAGATGCTATAACTATCAAAATATTTTTTAAATGGCTCTAAAGTATAGTTTTAGAATACGAAGAACTGTGGCTTTGGTGTCAACTTGTATTCAAAGCCAAGCTCTGCTGCTTATTAACTATATATGCTTGGGCAAATAAAAATTAGTTCATTATTATGCACCTCACTGAGGTTAGGCCTCATAAAGCTCTTGGGAGCTTGAATTAGATTATGCATGCGAAGCACCTGGCACTGTGAGATCAGGGGCTCCCTCACCCATCCTCATCTTAGAGGTTCTGACCCAAAATACGAGCGAGAACTCTGAAACAAGTTCCAAGCACAAAGATAGAAAAGGTTGCCTTCAACAGCAGGAGGTCCTCTACCCCAGAGGCCTTCCATTTCAGCTTGGTCAACAGTAGTGGAAATGTCATAGCTTAGTGAGGAAGGTCCTTTCCAAACTAAGAGTTTATGATTCTATGGAATCGCCAACATTACATGTACCAAACAGCTAAATGTCTAGACTTTTCTTTGGAGAGTATTTTACGACCCAGGGTACAGCCAAACTTTGTTCTTTGATTCCTTGAGTGGAATAAATGCTCATTTTAAGCTATATAGTGATATTAGATATATAGTGATATTCTCTCTTTCCTCTTCCAGAGAGGACTCTATTCTAATTACATACGAGTAATATGCCTTTCACTTGAGTATGTTAAGTCTTGGTTTATGGAGCAGGCCTAACCTATGGAAACTCAAAGTGGCTGATACATATCAAATGTCACTCCCAGTCAAGTTCTTCTGTAGGGTATTTCCACCTTGAGTTTATTTTTCTTAGAAAACCTGGACTCACCAATTGATTTTTAAGTTGTTCTCAGAATACAGCCCTTATTTCATATTGTGCCTACAAGCAGAGAGCACGGTCAGAAAGACTTCTCCTGTAATAACTGGGGTAGAATCAAAGGAGGAAAGATAGATACAAGTAACAAAGCAGCATTAAGCCAAAGGAAAGTCATGGTGCTGCCTTGATCATTACTAAGGTTGGAGAAAAGATGACACATACACACACCTACCACGAGGAAGAGTGGAATGATGACACCAGCACCACTACCCAATAGTAAGGACATCCATATGCTCAACACAGAACTAAGAGGCTCTATAAGTGAAGAGAAGACTCTAATATTTGTTAAGTGGAAATAAATGCAGGATTTGGGCTCATTCACCTTCACACCTAGAGTACTGAAGTAACGATAACTCACATTTTCTAACACTATGTGTCAGTACATTCTAAGTGCTTTACTTACGTATCTTATCTCATTCTCACAACAATTCTATGAGATAGTTACTATTTTTTCCTCATCTTACAGATGAGGAAAGTAACCTTCTACATTCCTGCCTCCTGACTCTTCAGCTCCAGTTTTCACATATCAAGATTTCATCCAAATTCTTCAGCCTGGCATTAAAGGCCTTTCCTGGTGGACTCTCCTGTTATTGCCTCAAAAAGCCTTGAAAGTTTTCCTGCTTGGAAGGAAAGAGATTCCACCCCTGTCCCCACTGCCTATGAAGTTCTCTTCTCTGCTCCTTCAATTCCTACTCATTTTTCTAGACCTAACTCAACAGTCCCCTTCTCTGCGAAGCCTTTCCAGACCATTCTTACACACACGGCCTCCTCCCTCCTCGGTATTCCAATGAGACTTTCTTCTGGAATAGTCACTGGGCACTTCATGCTGAGCTGCTTTGTGTCATCTCTTACTGCTCTTATTGAAATTTCATGAAGTCCACAATACGTCACACACATCTTTGAACTTCCCTCTTGATCCAGTCTTCTGCTCCCTCAGAGAGGGAGTGTGGTGTAATAGAAAAAGCAAAGCTTGGGAGCCAGCAAGACTTAGGTTCAACAAGCAGCAGCACGGGCATCATCCGGGAGCTTGTTGGAAACGCAGACTCCCAGGCCCCACCTCGGACCTGCTCAATCAGAATCTGCATTTTTATAAGATTTGCAGGTAATTAGTGGCATATTAACGTTTTAAGAGGTGCTAATATAATCCTGTCTGTTCATCAACAAGGAAGATGAGTTTGTGGACTTTCCCAGGTTGTGAAATCTGCTACCTGCAGACAAAGGATGGGCCAAAGGCCTTTAATTCTGAAGTTTTTGTTCTTGCTACTGAATCACAGATGTCTTACATGATTAGGTGAATGCTACAGGCATTGCTTTGATTGTTTCTATCTTATGTACATCATATTTTTAATATGATTTATCACAAAAAGTAAAATTACTTTTCTTTAAGATCTTATTGATTTAGATGGTCTTTAGTTCTAAAAAAGAGCTAATGTCTATCATTGGTACCAAAATAGTTTAAACTCTTAAAGAAATGTGTTTTAGTGCTTAACATTAATTTTGTATAATTAAATTCTAAAACTCCTCCTTTTTAAATATTAAGAAAACATTTATCAACATTCCATGTGATTAAAAAAATCCAGCTTAAAAATACTTGATTGTCCCTGCAGATTTAAAGATAAGAATTCTGTATAATTTTTAAACTCTACATCTCTAAAACAAGGAATTCTGTAACTTTGAAGAATGAGTTTGAAGAAAATGTAAAAGTAAATGCTCTCCTGGACATCTACATCTGTTGAAATTCTACCTGTCTCTTCAAGATCTACCCAAAACGTTATTTAAGTCTATAAATTTCATTTATAAAAACATTGTGCTTCCACAACAGGACACAATCTTGACCACATGTGAGTCCTTCCAAATATTTTGCTTTCTTTCTCTTTGACTCTGTGTTTTCTATCATAGCTATTTGTTTCCTTTTGGCATCTCCTCTACAGAGACTACAAAGGAAACACTAAAAACTTCACTCATTCAGCAAATATTTACTGATCATCTACTATGTGTTTGAGACTGAGAATACAATGGTGAACAAGATCAGTGTAGTTAGTACCTGCCTTCGAGGATCTTATGTTAAGAATGCTGACCATAATTGCCTGAGAAAAATAGTCCACGAGAGCTTAAAGGATTTCATTAGTACACTGATAGTTATTCGCCCCAAGTCTTTGATGTCAAATTGACCACAAGTACCAGGTAGCTTCCCTCATCCATTCCTTCACCAGACATTTATTGAGAAACTACTATATCCTAGTCAACAAGCCCTCAAAGAATTGACAGATGATGATTCAGGGTGTGTTAAAGAGGAGTGTTCCACATAAGCCTAGGGACAAAACTAGGGTTGGGTGGAGTCTCATCTCTTTTGCACGTTTGTGTCCTCCACAGTGATCAGCAGAACACCTTACACAGAGTAAATACAAACATCCTAATCAAGAATATAAAATTCACCTCATGGAGTGGATAGTAAATCAACAGCGAATGTCCCCATCGGTAAAATATATCCATGTTGATTATAAATGTTTTACCAGTGGGGATCTTCATTAATTCAACAACGATTTATTATTATTAGTGAGTACTTACCATGTGCTATAGCCACCCCTGTGGTCTAGTGGTTAAAATTCGGCACTCTCACAGGCAGGACTTGGGTTTGCTTCCTGGTCAGAGAACTATACTGCCTTCTGTCGGTTGTCATACTGTGGCAGCTGCATGTTGCTGTGATGCTGAGAGCTATGCCACTGGTATTGCAAATAGCAGCAGAGTCACCCATGGTGGACAAGTGTCAGCAGAGCTTCCAGACTAAGACAGACTAGGAAGAAGGACCTGGCCACCCACTTCTAAAAACACTGGCTGTGAAAACCCTATGAATAGCAGCGGAGCACTGTCTGATACAGTGCTGGAAGGTGAGGGGATGAAAGAAACAGACAGGGCAGGGTTCTGCTCTGCAGTACACTGGGTTGCCAGGAGTCAGAAGCCACTCGAGGGCACTAACAACAACTATGTGCCATGCACTATGCTAAGTACTGGGCATAAGAAAATGAAAGATGCAGACTCTCCCTGCGCGGGCGAGACAAACAAGTAACAACAATTATAATACCCTCTAGCAAGGATTATGATATTTTAAAACACAAGGTTCTGTGGAAATATGCAAGCAGGCCTTGTCACCTAAGCAGAGGATGAGCAATTTGGGGAGGGCTACTGATCTAGTTTAAAGATTGGCATATATTGTCTCCATCTGTATCTTAGAGGTAGACCCTGCATCTACTAAAGCCTGAGATATGCATTAGGGATTCAGATTTTATGTTAATCCTTCTGTTCTTATTCTAATCTTATCACTTCTTCCTTTAATCCTTCTGTTCTTATACTAATCTTATCACTTCCTCCTTTGGGGAGCACAAATAAAAATGTGAACCTTCTTGGTAACAGACTACCACATATTTTTCATTTACAATCAAGTACTTTAAACACTTACTGGTAAAAGAGCAATTGTGGTGCTTCTTTATTTGTCAGTTTTACCAAAGGGACCATTCTTTACAAAAGTTTCTGGGCAGACTTCCATTGTTTCGTTCCATCATTGGATTTCTTGGCCCTCAACACAAAGGGACTATATTTAGAGAGACAATAGTCCTGCTCCACATGGAGTTTTAGAGTAGCATTTACTTCAGGAGACCTGGCAAAACACACCCTACTAATAATCTCCAGAGGAAGAACAATTAAATCAAGGCCATCTCCTCCTACAACGATCATCACTGTGACTCTAGAAGTAGTCCTTTTCCCAATTAGCTGTAGATTATTTCTCCCTTTGATTATTCTAATTAAAATGTACCTGAATATGTAAGTAATAAACAGTGCACAGAAAAACTAGAGCAAGAGACTGTATTAAACTTGACATGCCTAGAATGGATACAAAAACAGAGTTTACAGTACATATTTTTTTTAAATGTTGAAAAGGCATCTGTCAGGATGCATATCTGCATTTGTTGAAGGAGTTAAATGTGGACCCTATCAATGATCTGTTTATTTTTTTCTAATTTTCAATCAAACTTTTCGGCAAACATGATTTGTCTTGTAGGATTCCCCATTTTCTCCCATATGGTGCCTGATGGTTGCCCATCGTAAGCCTCTCCCAAGCTCTGGGGTCTGATGATGGTCACTTTGCCTCTCATCAGGCTCTTTCATCAAGTACTTAATTCTGTGATTCTCTAACAAGCACAGCTTTCTGCAGACTTAATACTGATCTTAGATGAGCAATTTAGACTTAAAGGGAACCACTGTGGGTGTATTATGGATAGTGTTGAATTCCAAGAAGTCAATAAATTTTCTTGATATAGAAGCTCTATCTGGGCAGTTTTGATACAGAAGAGCCCAACATCACAGTGAGTTCACTCCTGCCCCCTCCCTGACACCTTCTGGGATGACACACACATTCTTCCTTCTCTGAACTCTCAATGAGTCTGAAAGTGAAATTAGAGAGTTGTTGGTTCAGGTGATAGGTCAGGAGCCCAGAGGAAGCCACAGAGCTGGAGGAAGGGAGATCAGAGTCTTCACAGCAGAGGCGATAGTGAGAAAGGGAGTTGTGGGTCAGCTCTCTGCAAAGAAACATCTGAACAAATGAGAGGAAGGCAGAGCAGAGAAGTTGGCATGGTGTCTACATTCACAAAGCACAGGCTGAGCCAGTGAGGCAAAGGGCAGGCGAAGAGGAGAGAAGAGTCATGTTCAACCATCATCTCATTCCAATACACTGAACAACGATCCTAAAAAGCACTGACAGGTAGCTCACGGTGATATGAAACAACTGTTCTGTGTTTAGAATTTCCTATTCCTACTCTGAATATTTGCCAGTTTCTTTATAATTTGCAGTTTTTCAGAGTGTGCAAATAATAGCAGGAAGGACAGCCATAAGGAGATAGCAATATGCTAAACTGGAAATGGATGGGACAGAAGAGTTTCTTTTGAGTAAAAAGTTTCCCTCCAAGAGAGAGATTAAGATGAGGACAATACATGCTCTTAAGCCTTGACCAGCCTATTCCTAATTTTAGTGGTTTTCCTCCATACAGCACCACATTTCTAGTAGATGATGAGTATCATAAATGAGCCACCTCAGATTTGTTTTGTAGAACCTTCATGTAAGGTCTACTGACATTATGCTTCCCTGGGGGAATGTAGTGGATGCATATGGAGAAATCATACAGACTTGTAAAGGTCTTTTACTTCCTAGCCTTTGGACAGTTGGGAAGACAGGAACACACTGAGTGGAGTCGTCTTTGCTCTTTTCAACTGTAAGTCTAGGTGGCAGCAGGCAGCTGTGGCTCACTTAGTTCTTGGGAGAGCATGCTGCTGTCACCCTCCTCCTGGACGCTGGTAGTCCTTCCAGGTATAAACCCGTTTAACGATAAGATTACATGAAAGGAAATGATTATGAGATTGCAAAGGGACATATATTTTAAAAACATTTTCCTAGGATTACAATAGAAAGCTTTGTACCCTCCACCTTCTTCTCTATGAGTGAAAGTTACCCATCTCTGGGCTGTAATTCAGTACATCTGCATGGACTGATAAACAGCAGTAATTACATCATGCAGGCAACCTAGCAGGGCAGGTTAATAAAATCCTGCCAAACTTCCTGTGATAGTAAACCTGCATTGCTGGTTCTTCTTCTTTCATATTTACAAAGAATAATAAACCAAATGAATGTGAGCATTCATAAAATGTTATTAATATTCAGAACTTTTCAAAAATAGAGTGTTTTCTTATTTCACCCTGCATAAAGTTCAACATATTAGATATAATCTTTTCAGCTTCTACTCATTGTGTATAAAACTTCCAGAGGCAGCAGAATGTAGTAAAGAGCAAACGAAATATAGGGAAGTTCTGGGTTCGGATTCCAATGAAGTGACTTCTTTAGCTGTGTGCTTGGGCAGCCTGCTTAACCTTGCTGGGCTTCTGTTTCTTTATTTGTAAAACAGAGATAGGAGATATCTCTTATGCCATGATTTTGAGATAACGAAAGTGCTTTGTAAACTGTCCCTTTTAGCTGTAACATTATTTACATGTTTCATCACTTCTAGCCTGAAGTTATTCACTTCTTTATTCATTTAGTTAAAAAAATCTTTAGTGGGGGCCAGCCTGGTGGCAGAGTAGTTAAGTTTGCGCGCTCCGTTTGGTGGTCCCGGGTTTGCAGTTTCCGATCCTGGGTGCGGACCTGCACACTGGTCATCAAGCCACGCTTTGGCAGAGTCCCACGTACAAAATAGAGGAAGATATTAGCTCAGGGACAATCTTCCCCACCAAAATAAATAAATAAAATTTAGTGGATCCTTTTAGGCTCTGAGGTACAGAGATGAAATTATAAAAGGTCAGAGAAGTTCAAGAGAATAAGGTGGGTTCAGAGAGGGTAGGCAGCCACAATAGGAACTGAGGCCAAAGGTGGGGCCGAGTCCTGGTCTCGACACAGGTGGAAAGCAACTTCAAA